TCAAATGTGTTAATATAACTCATTTTAACACCGTGGAGTCCATCAATACATTAACTCGAGTTGCCAATTTAACTCATTTTTGTGTACAACTCAGAATAAGACTCATCCATCATCTTTGATTTACTGAAGAAAATCATTTTATCCCTTATCTTCATGACTCAGTGTTTTCTTGATACCATGAATCCAAAATGATATGTAGAAATAAACTGGAGGATAGGGGAGGAGAGACAGTTCTCTTTTAAATTTCTGGTTGACAAAATGTGAAGGGCCATCACTTATACTTCACAGTTAGAAACAAAAAATTCAGATAAAGGAGATAAAATTCAGATAAAGAAGATGGCATTAACTAACCAAAAGCCCATTTACCATTTGTTGAATTCTTCATCACAAATTCTGTTATAACATGTGGGATCTAGGTATGTCTCCCTATTAGAACAATCATAAGTAAGTCCAGTTTTAAAATAAGCAGTCCTTTGGATCATATTCATGCTTCCACGCAATCATTCATTTATTCAATGAACATTTACTGGGAAGTGACTGTATGCCAGGCACTGGGGATATAACAGGAAGCAAGAGCCCACAAAAACCTCTCTGAACTCAGAGATCTCAGTCTACCAGGGGGTTAAGATTAGATAACTAGAAATTGTTTATAATATAGAGTGATATGCATAAGACTTAACAATATATTTGCACAATAGTATGTTACAAATTATACACTTAAAAATGTAGATAAAATTGAAAGTTTTTTTTTTCACCTTGTCCAAATTTCGTTTTTTTCAACAGCTATTTATTTGGTTCTTGTACTGAGTCATCTAAACAAAGCAGGTCTTAAAGTGAAAGGGAGTGCTACTAATAATTTTGCTGGATTAGGGACTGCCCTGGTCAAATGAGGATACATGGTTATCCCAGTTATGAAAAATGTAAATAGCTCCTCCTAGTTCCCCTTATTCCCCCAAAATACTATTCTGAAAAGCGTGATCATCAAAAAGCATAAGAGAACAGATATGTTCATGATCTTGAGTAGGGTAATGAAATCCACATGGACATGTTTTTCCTTTAGACTTTACGGTCTGTACAGTGTCAGAGCCACGACTTCCATGACCACGTTTTGATATGCAGAAGAGTTTGGAAAAATATTCTCTCCAGAATGCTTTGCTTGTAATAAGGTTAGAGATTTTATATTTTTCTAACTTGCCTGGTCTTTGGATTTCAGTCAGGTACCACAAAACCAGGTACAAAAGAATCCTAAATCAAGGTGTTCAAACAAAACTCTGACAGCAGCCTGCAGGGACCTGTCTGTAGATTCCTAGGTCCAGGCCAAGGTAGCAAGAAGCTGGGTGGCATACTGGCACCTCTACAGTTCTCAAATTAGCACTATAATTTTCTGAAATATCTAAAGGAAAGAAAATTCTGGATATCTGGAGAGAAATTAGTGGGAAAAAACTTTTTATTAGTAACAAAGAACCAGTAGGCAAAAGAAGCAGCAACTCAGAACCCATTTTTCATTTCCTGCTCACTTAGCAGGGGAGCTGGGAGCCCTCGGAGGAAGGAGACGCACGGCTGGGGCTGGAAATACACGCCTAGAACTAGAAAATCTGAGAAGCAGATAACCTTTGTGATGTAAGAAAGAACTTAAACTTTTCTGCTTTGGTTCTTGAGTTAGAAACTAGGAGAAAGGGTTTGCTTAACTTTCCTTCGTGAGTGTGTGTGTATGTATGTGTATGTGTATGTGTGAGAGAGAGAGAGCATGTGAGTCTGCAAGCATGAGAGTGGGTGTGCTCTGGAACCAAAGTGAAGGGTTGATAGCAAGAATTTTCAAATTATTACCTGCATAAGAAATCAGATACTACTAGTCATTCAAAAATCTATAGTCAGGCTAGCTGTTTAAAAATCACTTTTAAAAACTCAGGTTCCTGGGCCCATCACTAAAATCAGATTAGATCTGCAGTCAGGGTAAGGAACCAAAGACCATGAATTCCTGTAACAACTTCCAGTTTCTTAAGCCCTTTAACTTATCTGCAATTGCTATTTTACTTTCTGTGTTTCCCCCAAATGATAAATAAAACAGTTTTGAGTCTCTTCTTAGAAAACTGGGGGAAATGCATCTTATTCTGAAGCCAGTTTTTCAGACAAAGGACTCCAGGAGGTTAGGGTGAATTAGGTATAAAGTTAGGAAAGTACTTTGAATTATTGGGATTTGTTGTAAGGAAAGGAATAACCTTGAGAAACACCTCTTTAGGGGGCTTGGTGACAGTAATCCTGTTTGGTTCTTGACTCTGGGTATCACAGAAGTATCATTTTCTGTTTTATATCTCCTCTCCTCATATATTGTCCCCAGTTAATCTAAGACAGGGACACTGGGGGAAAAAGAGGAGATGCTGTGGCAGAAAAGGATAACATAACATCAGTTACGTCTGTTTTTCAGAAATGTGTGCTGCCCTTTCCAGTAATGTCAGAATCTGAGGCTGATTGGTGAAGACTACATTGTCTTCAGATTTCTGAAGGCGTATTCCATCAGATGAGCTGTACTAGTTTACACTAATAAGCAAAGATTTATGCTAGTATCTTTTTTTTTTTAGAAAATATGGGAAACTAACCAAATCATGCCTGCAGGAAGGAAAAAATATTTTTTCTTTTATATGACAGTTAAAAATCCACCTAAAGTAAGTACAGCATAGATTCAGAGAAAGGAATTGTGAAGGAAGATGTTATTCTGCTAATTTAAGTTAAATGGAGTTTAAATGGAGTGCTGTAAACAAACAAACAGAAAATAACAAGTTTGGTGGGAATGTGGGGAAATTGGAATGCTTGTACATTGCTGGTAGGAATGTAAAATGGTTCAGTTGTTACGGAAAACAGTATGGCTGCTCCTCAAAAAGTTAAACATATAAAACTCCACTCCTTGGTATATACCCAAAAGAACTGAAAACAGGTACCCAAACAAATACATGTATACCTATGTTAATAGCAGCACTACTTCCAATAGCCAAAAAGTGAAAACCCAAATGTCCACCACAGGATAAATAAATAAATTGTGGAAGCCATAAAAAGGGATGAAGTACCGACAGATGTTACACTGTGGATGAGCCTCGAAAGCATTACGCTAAGTGAAAGATGCCAGACACAGGACGTCACATACTGTATGATTCTATGTATATGATATATTTGGAATAGGGAAATCCACACAGACAAAGAGGGGACTGGTAGTTCCAAGAGACTGGAGGGAGTGGAGAATGGGAAAAACTGCTGAATGGGTATGGGTTTCTTTCCGGGGTGACACAACTGTTTTGGAACTACATAGAGGTAGCGGTTGTATAACACTGTGAACATACAAAATGCCACTGAATTGTTCACTTTAAAATGGATACTTGAATATTATGGGAATTTCACCAGAATGAAAAAGAAAGACAAAAAAGTGAAAGGCCTTCTCCAGAGATTTGAGTGTATTTTCCCCACAACTAAGAAATGGGCATTGGACTGCACATACCTGGAGGACAAGGTTGACGTTGCTGAGGTACCAAGTTTGGGTCTGGAGGGGTGGGTAATTCCTCAGAAACATACTTTAAAAGCTCCTTCCCTTGATATGTTACCTGCACATAATTAAACATAGAATTTCAAAATCATACATTTTATAAGAAGCAAATACACCTATCTCCTGCAAATTTTAACTCCGATAAAGTATTAATTGTTGTACATTATGGATGGGCAAACTATAGCCCACAGCCAAATCTGGGCTGTCACATTTTTTGTAAAAAAGTTTTACTATAACACGGTGATACCCATTCATTTACTCAATATCTATAACTGCTTTTATGCTAAATAGGATTCAGTAGCTTTGACAGAGACTATATGCCCATGAAGCCTGAAACATTTATTATCTGATCCTTTATAGAAAAAAGAATTGATCCTTGTTGTATATCACTAATTCTCTCAGCCATTCACTTATTCAGTAACTTAATTCAGCACCTGCTACTTTATAACTTAAAAAAAATTAATGTTGCATTAATAAAATTACACCATAAAAGTAACGATACTTTTCAAGAAATAAGATACATAACTGGTTAGGTTAACAGCATTTCAGGTCTATATATCAAAGTTTTTTTGTTTTTCTTGGTTTGTTTGTGAACTTAGCTATTGTTTATCAGTCCAAAAGGTCAGAGCTTAGCAATCCGTGCATTTGCTGGGTAATATCAAGTAGTAAAATTTTACATTAGTTGCGTTAGGTGTCATGAATCCCCACAGATCCTAAACACATCACGAGGGATAATTCACACATATAAAGAACACAGCTTAAAGGAAATCCACTAAATTAAAAATCTATTTTCCATAAGGTAGGAGTGATTTAACGCACATGGATAATAATGAACAGATCTCAAAATGAACAGGTACTAGGTCACTTCAGGAGACTGCAGCAGCAAGAGGCATGATGCCCAGTGGAGTAAGCATGAGGATTCCCCTGGCAGAGCTGTACAGCTGCCCAGCTGCTTGGGTAGGAAATATGAGTCATCTCTGTGTCTAGTGGCTCTGTCACTCTGTCTGATGCAGGACAAGACCTAGTTGTCTGGCATTTCTTGTCTGACAACCACCCAGTCCCGGATCTAAAGCCCCATCATCCTTCTCAGAACTAACTAGTAGAAATGCTCACATTTACCAAGGTAGTAAGAAGCTCCTATCATCAAGATGTGACCTGAATTCAGAAGTTACGTCACGACAAGAGGAGGCAGAGATTACTGTGATAAATTTTAAAAGCGGCTTTTAAAAATTGTAAACAAACTCGCTGGGGCAGTGTTTCTTAGCCTGGGGTATTTACTAGAAGTACACGAGTGCCCTACAGTAATCTGAAAACCCATTTCCATTTTTAGGATAATTTTTTAAAAATCTAAGCTTGCTCAGATAGTCTGTATATCTTATATCAAAGAACTGCCCTAATTTTAGTGACCACATTTGCATTTGGCTTCACCATCACATAGGTGTTAAACAATATGACTAATTGACATGGCTGATGAGAAAGGACTAGAGGCAATGTGATATGCAAATGAGACATATAAGTACAGAGTGAGGGCCAAATGATGTCACAGCCAGCTATTCAAAAGCAGAAGATGCAGTAGTTCCAACAGAGAAAAAAAGTGGGAGGACTGAGTCATCACTGGGCACAGGCATACCAAGCTCAAAAGAACCCAAGCTGCAGCCATTAGTACCATATTCGTGCTGTAAGCATAGATTCAGTTTCAGCAAAATGATACAATCTATCATACATTTAAGAAACTTTATAATAAAATGGGATTTCCATGGGTAAAATGTTAATTATTAACATGCAATAATGATTTATGAATCCATAGAAAGGATTACACAGGTTGAATTGAAAGCAGATGGCCTAGTGACTCCAGTGCTGGGAAACAAAAAACTAAAACTTTAGGGGGAAAAAGGCAGACAGAGAGACTATAAAGCAGAGAAAATTTAAAATGTGCTCATATAAGTGAAGGAAATGAAACAAAGTTCTGGAAGCACCGGTCACGGAGGTCTAGAAGGCTAGAATGTAGAATTTAGGGACAAAGACCGAGAACAGGAGCTAGGAAGGATGGTGGGTACAGCTGAGCTGGACAAAGAATGAGAGAGGAAATGCCTTCTATTACCGGCACACTAAGGTTTACTGTAATGGCGAGTGGAGGTTGAAGGTATTTGCAATTCCGTGAAACAGTAATGTTGACTGTCTGATGATTCACACTTTCCTGGGTGAATCACTCCAAGATTGTTCCCTGAAGTGGTGCCATGGGCATCCAGAGGCCTCAAGGACCTCAAGGGTGTCAGTAATCAATACTCCTCAAACTGGTGGTTAAACTGGGCTTATAACTCAGAAGACAGAACTGAGGGGAGACTAAGTCTGGGAAGTCTGAATTAAAAGAAATATTTCTTTTTGGGGGGCTAGCAATTCATGGAAAAGACTTAGCTCAAACATAAAAGTGCACCATGGGGGTCTTAGTCCCATGATCATTACTTTTGTCTTTAGGGGAAGATTTTGCTTTATTTTTTTAGAATACTAATACCATATCAACTAAATTATCAATACACTAGTGGTCCCAAATTTTCTATGTGGAGTCACAAGGACCTAAATTCCTTGTAGGGGTGTGGTGTGGTGCCGGGGGCAGAAGGGGAAGATAAGGGGCATTCAAATTTCTGAGACTAGGTGAGGAACAAGGAAGAAGATTCTCAGTCAGTTGTGCAACCCCGCTGTGGGGAATTCTGGCAAATAGGAGTTGTAGGAGAAAGCACATAGCATGCTGCAGAAGGAATGCATGAGGACGAAACTAAAAAAAGGAAATAGTTTTCTCATCAAAAAAATATGTACCTTTCTATCTGAATATGAAGTTAAAGATAAACTTAAGAATGACCCACCTTACTCCAAGCATAATTCCAGGTCACGTAACTGTCACCTCCTAGAACATCCTTGAGCCAGGTGACTGGGTTTTGATAAATCTGACCACTTTCTACCTTAATTTTGCCACTCAATAAAACACTGGCTTTGTGGGTAGTCTCCTGAGGTAAAAAAAATAAAACAAAAATTAAGATTAAAAAATATCTGAAATATGTGAACTTCTGCTTCTGTCCATCATGAACTAACAGGGACCAGATTTACCCTAATAAA